CTATATTAAATCGTTCAATTTCAAAATTAATATCACAAATAGCTTGCCTCAAATGATTATTTTTATAACTAATTGATTCGTTTCTTATTTAAACACTAAACTTATATCAACATTAAAAACGTTAATATGACGATCAAAATAATCCTAGTCATGCAATAGACTAGTTTCTATTATAAGCTAAAAAGTTAGTCAAAATTCTTCCCATAAACCTGCATGATCCACGAGTCAACCATACTTTTAACACAACCCTAGAAGTTAGCACAATTTATATTGGGAATGGGAAAATGTCAATATTAGAGATCCAATATTTGCTTGCAAGCTCGATAATGATTAAACTCAATATTTTTTAATAGAAAATTAGTAATCATAATTTTTTTCAAAATTTTAAAGTTTTAGTATTTCAAAAGGCTCCTCAACATCATTCTTGACCATCATTTGCACATTAAAAAGTTAATTTGAAATATTCATGCGTATTTCATTAGATCTTCTGGGCTGATTTGCATCTCATGATATCAGTTTCAAGAAATGTGAAATTTTACTAAAGAAGAGACTAGGTGCATGTTTGGCAGCGCTTTTTCTCGTCAAAAATTTAATTTTTGATTGTTATTTAACTATTTCAACTGTCATTTTTAACTTCATCTCTTACAGGTAGGATCCACTTTTCTCTCCAACTAACAAGAAATCGATTTTCAAAATCACTATCGAACAAGTCCTAGAATTAGAGTTAGAGTTTGATTAAGCCATTTTTGGTGTAGTTAAAATTAGATTTGTAGTAAATTTTGATAAAATTAATCAATATATGGTTGAAAAGTTGTTAATATCATAAAATGTGTGGTTAAATTAATTATTAACTTTGACATAAATTTGTATCAAGGTTTTAATCTGCATCATACAGGAGCTAAATAATAAACTAACACTTCAATATCAACGTCTGTGTATAATGTGGTAATTTGTTCTTTCAACTTTATTTCACATATGTAAATCATTCAAGAATTGTATACATTCATTTAAACATTGGAAAGTTGCATATAGTGCATGTAAATACTATTGTAATTTCGTCACAGCAATCACTTTTTACATTATTTCTCTTTCAGTGAGCCCGTCCTAGTATCAAAAGTGATCGAATGATAATTCCCTAATTTCTCTTTCGACTCCTATTCATTGTTAGTTGCTTTCCTCACATCCATACCAATCCATTGGTCTCCCGATTCGTCCCGTCGTCGTAATTTTACCCCACCTTATCCCCTAACCCTCACCTCCTACTTATGGTTTTGCTCTTGTTCTTGCCTCATATTATGATTTCGCCTCATTCTCCTATTCCATTTTCTCCTCTATTCCTTTCCATATGTCTCCCATCTCCAGCCCGGGTTGTGAATAATATCGTGGGAGTGCATAGCGAAAGAACAATGATAGTTCGATCATCACCAGAGAAAAGCATTTCTTTTTAAAAATAAGTTTTTTTCTTCAAATTTATTCATTTATTTTGTATTCTTATCCCCCCACCCCACGCCACCCACTCCCTCGCCGCTCCTACGAACTCTTTTCTTCATTTCAGTGTCTTTATAACTCATAGTACAAAGGTAAAAAGAGTAAAGAAGAGAGAGTATAATCCTATGGTCACTCCTCACCAGAACATGCCCAGATCTCTCTTTCCTATTCACCTCACATTCACCCCTTAAGATTCGACTATACATTTTCTTTATCAAAAGCAAAGAGCAATTATCAGAGACTCCTCAATTCACAAAAGCAATGGCGACTCTACAGAAGTTCAAGCTATTAGCAACCCATTGCGCAGTGGCTGGAAGCCCAACAAGGAGCCCAACCACCAGCCCAGTAATCCACCTCCGCCGGAGAAAAACTCTCCGAATGCTTCTCAGCCGCAACGGAGGTGGAGAAGGGAGAAAGCTGCAGCCTCGACCTGGTGATGACTCATCTGATGGAAGGAGAAGTGACGATAGCGGTGAATCGCCGGAGAAGGGGAAGGATACGGTGGTCAGCCACAAGCTCAGAGACCTGTTTGTATCCTCGCCGCCGCCGTTCGAAGAGCGGAAGTCTGGGACTGGGAATGTGCAAGAAGGGATGTCGCCGTCGGCGAGTGTGGATGAGAGGAGAGGTGTCACGCGGCCTCTACGGCCGTTATCGGCTACGTTCCGGCAACGGCTGCTGAGGAGAGCTTGGCGCCCTGTGCTTGGTGCCATACCTGAGTCACATTATGAAAATTAAATTGGAGTGACAAAAAAAAAAAAAAAAAGAACTTTTATTATTTGAATTTTAATTAACTTCTCAAAAAATTTGACTTCTTAATAGCTTCACATGTATGTTTCACAAATTAGAAATAAAATAATTGATAAATTTAGTTAGGTATTTATCTTCATAAATTACATTTACGAGGGAGGGACGTAGTTAATATCTTTTTTTTTTCCATCACTTGGCCTTGGGAAGAACTCCCTTTACATGGTACAATAATTCTCAAACACTTATGGAAAAATTTCAATCGTTAGAGTAGTTCTCTTTTTTTCTTTAAGATTTTGACTCGATTTAATGGTGCATTTTCCGAGCACTTTGATATCTCTTATTTCTTTTTGCACTCCTTTAATCTAGTTGTAAGGCTTCAGGAGTATAGATGGTATTCTACTTGATGGCCATGGATTAAGAGTTTCAGTATGATGATCCATCAATATGTTAGTTCTTTTTATTCTGCATAAACAAATCAAATATAATGAGAAGAAATAACATTAGTAACATATATTATATGTACAAATCTCAACGTTCAACAATTTTATATAAGAATAAAGTCAGTGTGTCAGATGAATTTTGTCCACCTAGGTGATTGATCCTCACATTGGCATGAGACCTACGCCGACCTCATGTAAATGAAAAATGTTAAGAATGGTACTCCACCTATCCCGACTATGAGTGTAGGTCAGTTAAGATGTCAAAATAATTCTGACACCCAACACGATTGTTTATATAAATGTCTTTGGTTTACGTTGTCATTGAGCACGAAAAGTACATGAACTAATTAGTCTTTTTACATGTTTGGAGGCTCAGGCAAAACAAAAAAGGCGCAAATTTTTTAACTTTCTTTGTATTTTTTATATAAGTAAAGTGTGTTAGTTATAGCATATGATATATAATATTCAATTATATGGTAAGTGAAATGTTAAATCACCTTTATATGTAATGCGATTTGTAAATTTGTTTTTAAATATGAATTATATATTACATTAACAAGCAAAGTTCATTTCAATACATATGTCGCCCATGTTTGGTCCACCTATGACCTATTTAGTGAACTTTAGCAATATTTGATAGTTTTGATTCCGAGTTTTCAAATAAAAACTGAGGTCTATAAAAGTAACGATTTATGTAGACTGATTAGGATATCTATATTATTATTTCAAGTGCCTCAATATACTCCTCAATAAGCGCGTCTAAATATCGAAATGCTCCTCCCAATAAATTCACAAGACCTATGAAGCGCCTCATTGTGTAGATATCTTTCCCATAATTGAATTTTAGTGAAATGAAAATTCGACTTTACACCAAAAAAAAAAAAAAAAAAAGCGACAAATTTATGGGAAATTTATATTATTTTCCATCATAATAGGCTTGTTACAATATATTATAAAAATCAAACGACTCCACGTTGTTGATAGAGAAAGTCATTTCTTGACAAGAACAAAAGCACCCCATAAAAAAATTGGCATTTTCCCCCGCGCATTGGTGGATGCAATTATGTCAATATGGCATGAGGATGAATATGCATATGATTATAATACACATTCAAATTCTTGTTTTTAATAATTTCAATATTTCCAAAAAAGGGAACATAAATAAACAAATTAAAACTGCTAAAGCAAAGTGAAGAGTTGTAATTTTCTGGAGGGAAATTGGTCACAAGTAAATAATAAACAAATAACACAAAGATTTGATATTAGACTGGTTAAAGGATTATGCTGCAAACAGAAGCAAGACAAATCCGCACACTTACTTGATTACAGGCATGCATTGGCAATTTGTTAACCACTTAGAATTCAATTAAATTACTGACCAAATTGTTTTTTATTCACACATTTTATGAAATCCACAACTATTATCCACTTATCTGTTACTCATTTTCTATCTTTTTATAATTCGTTAAAAAATTCTATTATTAAAAATATGAAAGCATAATTTCCCGATAATGTATAAAATGGCTGCTTGACCCTTGAAAGGATGTAATTTACTCTAAATTACGAGAGCTTAGCGATTTTGTTCGAGTATTTCTCATTAAGACTCCGTGTATGATGTGACAAAGTAAGGTCATCTGTCCAAATCCAATAATTATTATGCTAAAATATTTCTAAAAAACCATGTAATCTATAAACCATTTATATAATAACTACGCATATTTGTCAATCGACAAACAAAAAATGGAGTGGTTCTTTGACCAAGTAGGCAAGGGATTGTTTGTTTAAATACATAATTTATTTATGTACTTAAAATTGAAATTTTAACTTACAATTGATGGTGGGGTATAATACTTGAAAGTGCCATAGATCTTGAAGACAAGGGCACTTGGAAAGATGTAAAGAAAAGGCTACAAATAATCTAATTTTAAATTGTCTCATTTTAGTTTCCACTTTTTATGTTACAAAATACTTTTGAAAATGGTACTGTGCTTGGCGGTACTATCACTTATCAACAATACTTTAATTTGCACACACACTCAAATATTCAGGACTTGCTCGGTAATAATTATGAGAATTTGTTGTTTGATTGTTAGGGAGAAAAGTGGGTCCCACTTGTAAGAGAAGAAGTAAAAAATGACGGCTGATTTAGAAAAGTGACGATCAAAAAATTAATTTTTTTTAGATCAAAAACAGAACCAAACATGCACTCAATGTGCTTATAAGTAGATTTTAGACCTTTGTCATGAGATTTTGACAACTTTTGGCCTAATAGCCGGAAAAAGTCAGGTTTTTGCCTTTCAATTTTGAGAAAAGTTCAATGAAATAGCATTTAAGTAAGTCCAAATATTTCGTAAATCATACCATTTTCGAACTAACCAATAGATTACCACAAATTCATCCTCATGCATTAAAAGCATCTCAGACTAGCACACAAACAAGCCATTTTACATCTGAGAAAGAAAACAAAGATGCAACACAATTACAGTCTTCATCTACATTTAATGGAGAATTTCATGAACCTTCAACCTATGTTAACAATGGTCGGATCATGTTTATCGTTCAGGAAAACAGCGGTCAGAACATTGCTTGTACGTAAAGATGATTTCAATAGCTTCAGAGCCTGAAGAAAAATAAGATTTAAAAAATCAATTGCGTATTCGAATGCAAGGAAAAACAAAATTACTACTACTACAAGAAAATAATTCAAAATCAAGAACACTAACACTATTACCTTGTTAAGGACAATACAAAACAACAAAAATAGGCTAAATTGTATTCCAGACGAATTTAGAGTTGGCTCCATGAATCCATTTTTACCACTATGCTCCATATATTTTTAATAGAATTAATTTTTTGTCCTCAGTAGGCAAGATAAAAAAATTTCACTGTTGATTGATGTGATAGAGAAAAACATAAGTATTGTTTTCTAAATGTATGACTATTGCAGAAAATCATGAGAAAAGTTCTCTTGTCACGTCAACAGTGATAAAAAAATCAGACTTGTTATTTCTAAATCTATTGAAAGATCTAAAACAACAAATCCCTAAATAACTATAAGGGGCCTTGTTAGTTTTAATCTAATTCTCTCTCTTTGAAACATAATGTGAATACATAAATTTGTGTCGTCTCTTGTAGACTAAACTTTTGGATCGGACAGTTTAGCATGTTATTAGAGTTGTCACTTATATCCACAAAAAATAATAATAAATAAAAATAAAAAAGGGAATCTAGCCACCATACCTTATTCATCCCGAAGTCTACCTCCTTTTCTTGTAGTGCAGCCAATCCCTCAACGTTAAACTTGTTAATCAAAGCAATGATGGATATAGCGGACATAGGTTTCACAACCAGATCATCCATTACCATGTAAGTCACCACGCCTTTCACAAATCCGCCTTCATTTGACACGTCTTTCTTTTGGGAAGGAGCGACATATGTCAAATTTCTGGTCATTGGTTTGGAGCACATTGAGCAAGGTGTATTGGGATCATCAGAAAAACTGAATGAACGCTCACTGTATCTTTGATTGCACTGACTGCAACTGTAGTAGATTTTCTGAGCTGGTTCATCAGTAAGAAATGATAAAGGAACTGAAGAAATAGGATTGGGTGCCTTTGGTCTCAAGAATATCTCCTTGTTGCCTAATATATACTCATCGTTCAAATTCTCAACGCTTTCATAGAGCTTGCCCAAGCAGCCCACCATTTCTTGTTTGCCGAGTAACCTAATAGCAGTAGCTAATGGCATAGCAAGAATGTGAAATATGAAATCGACAAAGTCTTTTCCAGCTTCAGCGAATAAAACCCTATTGCTTTTCGTGTCGATCAACAGCTTCAACTGCACTTCGGATTCTGCCATGTTGCTTATGAAAATCTATCTGTGTTATTCCCTGTCACTGAAAAGAAATTCAAAATCTATTTCTATAATAGACACAATTGGGATTTTCTTTGGAAAATGGATTATAGAGTCAGTTGAATGAATTTAATAACAGACGCCTGTTGACATTCTAGCCTTCCTTCTCACTAGTATAGTGCCACTACTCTATTGGAATTTGATTAATAGGCCCCATCCCTAGGGCTAAGTGATTCACATATCTACCTTTCAAGGATTAGTCAGATTAAAGTTGGAAAGAATCCAAGGAATTGACTACAATCAAATTTCCAGACTACAATTTACGCCCCATTTGGCCCTCATTTTTCAAAATGAAAATGAGTGGAATAGTTTTTTTTTTTTTTTAAATGAGTGGTTGAAAAAGAATTAAAAATTTTTGATTTACGTGTGATATTATTTTATAAAAAATTATGTGGTTCAAAATAGAAGAGAGAAAAATTAAATGGAATTTAATAGAGGCCAAACGGGGGCTATACATGTGAGAAACAAAAATAAAAAATTTGAAGTTAGGATAGGTTTTCCCATGGAGGATGTTTCTTCAATTAACACCACAATTAGAGCATCTTCAATAGACTTTTTAAACCTAAGATACTTTTTATTTTAAAGAGTCAATCTTTAAAATTATGCCACAATGCTTTCACTCACTTAACCCATGTTTGAATCTAATTAAATTACATTTCATTTTTTTCTCTCCTATTTTTAATCACACAATTTCTATAAAATAATGTTACACATAAATCGAAAACTTTTCATTCTTTTTTGATCATTCATTTTTAAAAAAAAAAAATACTATTTCACCCATTTTTATTTCCAAAAAATGGGGGCAATTAAATGCATTTAAAGTTTCAATTTTCAATGTAGGAAAATAATAAAATAATTTAAACAAAAGTTAGTTAAAATAAAAAATAGAGAAAAATTGTTGAGAGTTGTAAAATTAAATGTTAAGTATAAAGAATTTGTTAAAATATTTCCAAACTTTAACTCTTCAAATTTATAAATGCTCTCAAAATAATAAAACATGCTCTTAAAAAATAGAGAGGTTTGCTCTTACTCACTTTACACTTACAAGTGGTAAGTGGACTGAACAATATTAAGCTATATAATAAGCAATATTATTCCGTTTTCCTAGAAAAATTAACCCATCGCGAGAAATCGGGTCATTGGCCGATTCAAATAGTAACTGAGTGAACTGGACCAAGCGTGAACAGATTCTCTTTTTGGAAAAAAAAAAAAATGGAAAACAACAAAAATTCTTAGCCTTCTCTTCAATTTTAGCGTCATTGCAACCATTTCCTAGACTATTTTCAAAGTTTAAAATGTTAAAAATAATCTAAAATGTTTCTAATCTTCGGATCTAATAATATAACATCATTAAATCCTCCAAAGAAGGAAAAAACATCAACGAAATCAAGAAAGAACTTACCTGGGTATTTCGGTTTAGGGTTTCTATACTTCCACTTTGTAAGCACAAAACTACTTAATGACATGAAATAGGTACAAGAAGATAGGAGGGTGAGAATGTTTTTGTGCATTCATTTAAAGTAAAAAAAAAAGAAAGAAAGAATAATGCTCCTTGTACACTCCATGTTGTACATAGAGTTTGAAATTGCTTACAAATTCTTGTAAATTCAAAAATGTATGGGCGAAAAAGTGTTTTTCATTTTAAAAATGGTCATTCATTGTGCGACAAGTGGCACAATATTAAACTTAATGTCAAAAAAAGTATACATGTAGCAAGATTGAAAAAGAAATTTATGCGATGTGAAAGTCCAAAGCACTGAAGTTGACTGTGCCCTACTAAAAAAAGTGCTTGTTGAAATGAATTGATATTCTTTTTTGTTAATAAGGTATTTTATGCAAGGTTGATAGGTGATATATCATGAAATGATAAAAATACATGTGCACTTGACGTAGTGCGGTGATTCTACAAAACATAAGTCAATTAAAGATATTTGAACGGTTGTATCGATCCATGAAAATTTCAAAATTGAAGCAACTTACGGAACATGCCCATAAATCATAGTTGCTAAAATTGGATGAGTCCATAATTCGAAGGATGAATATGTATAATGAAATATATATATATATATATATTATTTTTATTTTATTTTATTTTTGTGTGTAAAAGTTAGCTAGGTCTTTCTTTCTTTACCCTTATCTACTTGAGAAGTTTAAATTTTTCGATCATTGTTTTTTATATTTAATGAGATTTAGGAGAGTTTGTTTTGGATATGTTTGGAGTCTTTTTTATCCAATTAGTAGTGTTTACAGTTCTGTTGTTATTTGTATTTGTAAAGAGGATTGTTGATTTGTTCAGTAATTCAAAGACGCAAGTATTATCCATTTGTAGTTCCTTTAAGAAGAGAAAATGTGCACAGCCTATAAAAAGACAAGAATTAAAAAGAAAAGGAAATTTATAATATGACCAAAACAAATTTAGAAAATATTATGTAATTGAAAAAAATTAAACAAATTAAAGTTACAAAAATGAAACAACGAATATATTAATATTATTTAATTAAAACTGAAAAAAATAAATTTTATCATAAAAAGAAAAGAATTAAAAAGAATTTTAAATTCATAATAAAAACAATTATAATATGAACAAAACAAATTTAAATAAAAAAATAAGAAACAAATACTCTCCGTGGACGGGGAGAATCTCTCCATCTACGGAGAGATTGTCTCATTGTCTCTCCTTTCAAAAAGAAAGAACATCCGTCTCTCCTTTCATTGGATGGAAACTTTATTTTATTTATTTATTTAAATTTTTTGTTTATTTTATAGATAAATTTTTTTATTTAAATTTTTTTAAATTCTTTTCTCATTGAACTTAATTTTTCTTAATTACTATTTTTCCCTCCTTCAAATGACAATTTTTTTTCCATTAAAAATTTTGTCAATTTAAATTTGTTCAATGTAAAATTATTTCAATTTTTCTACTGGTGAAAATTACTGATTAATTTATTTTTTAAATATTTTGTTCGTATTATGGATAAATTTTTTTCCATTTACATTTTTTAAAATTATTTTCTGTTTATGATTGAACTTAATTTTTTCCATTAATGTTTTTCTCTCCTTCAAAGGAGAAATTTTTTTAATATAAACTTGTTTGATTTAAAATTATTTTAATTTTTTTACTGGTGGAAATTACTGCTTTTCTTTGCATAAAGCTGAACTATTTATTTTTGTCATTACTATATTAAATCATTCAATTTTAAAATTAATATCACAAATATCTTGTCTCAAATGATTATTTTATAACTAATTGATTCGCTTCTTCTTTATATATTAAACTCATATCAACATTAAAAACATTATACGATGATCAAAATAATTTTGCCCGCGCGCTAGTTTCTATTACAAGCTAAAAAGTCAGTCAAAATTCTTCCCATAAACCTGCATGATCCACGAGTCAACCATACTTTTAACACAACCCTAGAAGTTAGCACCATTTATTTTGGGAATGGGAAAATGTCAATATTAGAGATCCAATATTTGCTTGCAAGTTCGATAATGATTAAACTCAATATTTTGTAATAGAAAATTAGTAATCATAATTTTTTTCAAAATTTTAAAGTTTTAGTATTTCAAAAGGCTCCCCAACATCATTCTTGACCATCATTTGCACATTAAAAAGTTAATTTGAAATATTCATGCGTATTTCATTAGATCTTCTGGGCTGAATTGCATCTCATGATATCAGTTTCAAGAAATGTGAAATTTTACTAAAGAAGAGACTAGGTGCATGTTTGGCAGCGCTTTTTCTCGTCAAAAATTTAATTTTTGATTGTTATTTAACTATTTCAATTATCATTTTTGACTTCTTCTCTTACAGGTAGGATCCACTTTTCTTTCCAACGAACAAGAAATCAATTTTCAAAATTACTATCGAACATGCCCTAGAATTAGAGTTAGAGTTTCATTAAGCCATTTTTGGTGTAGTTAAAATTAGATTTGTAGCAAATTTTGATAAAATTAATCAATATATGGTTGAAAAGTTGTTAGTATCATAAAATGTGTGGTTAAATTAATTATTAACTTTGACATAAATTTGTATCGAGATTTTAATCTGCATCATACAGGAGCTAAATAATAAACTAACACTTCAATATCAACGTCTGTGTATAATGTGGTAATTTGTTCTTTCAACTTTATTCCACATATGTAAATCATTCAAGAATTGTATACATTCATTTAAACATTGGAAAGTTGCATATAGTGCATGTAAATACTATTGTAGTTTCGTCACAGCAATCACTTTTGATATTATTTCTCTTTCAGTGAGCCCATCCTAGTATCAAAAGTGATCGAATGATAATTCCCTAATTTCTTTCGACTCCTATTCATTGTTAGTTGCTATCCTCACATCCATACCAATCCATTGGTCTCCCGATTCGTCCCGTCGTCCGTAATTTTACCCCACCTTATCCCCTAATCCTCACCTCCTACTTATGGTTTTGCTCTTGTTCTTGCCTCATATTATGATTTCGCCTCATTCTCCTATTCCATTTTCTCCTCTATTCCTTTCCACATGTCTCCCATCTCCAGCCCGGGTTGTGAATAATATCGTGAGAGTGCATAACGAAAGAACAATGATAGTTCGATCATCACTAGAGAAAAGCATTTCTTTTTAAAAATAAGTTTTTTTCTTCAAATTTATTTATTTATTTTGTATTCTTATCCCCCCACCCCACCCACTCCCTCCCCGCTCCTACGAACTCTTTTCTTCATTTCAGTCGCTTTATAACTCGTAGTACAAAGGTAAAAAGAGTAAAGAAGAGAGAGTATAATCCTAAGGTCACTCCTCACCAGAACATGCCCAGATCTCACTTTCCTATTCACCTCACATTCACCCCTTAAGATTCGACTATACATTTTCTTTATCAAAAGCAAAGAGCAATTATCAGAGACTCCTCAATTCACAAAAGCAATGGCGACTCTACAGAAATTCAAGCTATTAGCAACCCATTGCGCAGTGGCTGGAAGCCCAACAAGGAGCCCAACCACCAGCCCAGTAATCCACCTCCGCCGGAGAAAAACTCTCCGAATGCTTCTCAGCCGCAACGGAGGTGGAGAAGGGAGAAAGCTGCCGCCTCGACCTGGTGATGACTCATCTGATGGAAGGAGAAGTGACGCTAGCGGTGAATCGCCGGAGAAGGAGAAGGATACAGTGGTCAGCCACAAGCTCAGAGACCTGTTTGTATCCTCGCCGCCGCCGTTCGAAGAGCGGAAGTCTGGGACTGGGAATGTGCAAGATGGGATGTTGCCGTCAGCCAGTGTGGATGCGAGGAGAGGTATCACGCGGCCTCTACGGCCGTTATCGGCTACGTTCCGGCAACGGCTTCTGAGGAGAGCTTGGCGGCCTGTGCTTGGTGCCATACCTGAGTCACATTATGAAAATTAAATTGGAGTGAAAAAAAAAAAAAAAAACCCTTTATTATTTGAATTTTATTAAACTTCTCAAAAAATTTGCCTTCTTAATAGCTTCACATGTATGTTTCACAAATTAGAAATAAAATAATTGATAAATTTAGTTAGGTATTTATCTTCATAAATTACATTTACGAG